CACCGGCACCTCCACATCATGCTTGTAAAAGGATCGACAGTGAGCGGGAATAGATAAAAGGTAATTTGCAAAAGAAGCAACTGTGAGATAAGTTTTTGTTCCACAAAGAGAATAGGTAGGGTCGAGAACACACTGCCTGAAAGTATGGTAGGGGCGGGTTCAAATTAGGTACTCAATCTGGCATTCGATTATTACTTAAATGGAAGCATTATTCAAGGTTATACGGCAAGGGCAGGAGAATGGCATTAAGTCATAAAGCCAATTCAAAGAGATCCGGTATGGGCCGAATGGCTTCATTTTACACCTTAACAATTCGGTGATTGAGTGGGGTTCATTTTAAACATGTCCCCCACCGCCCGCCCTACCACCAACATTTCCTCTAGTGTGCACAAGTTAATATTCTCCAAGTTAATTTACGATCTGAAATCTAACTCCTCTCACCCAATGCTTATTGATCTTCACCAACATTGAAGTCAGCTGTAGCCGGGCAATGCCTAATTTGCAGAGTTATTATTCACTGGATATCACCGATACCATAAATATGATTCAGGAGACAAACTCCGACAGCCAAATAGATTGTATTAGGAGTCACGGGTGCTCAGAAAATGTCTCGCTAAATTAGAATATTCGACTTGTGTGCGAAATCCAGTGAGTCAGGAGGAGAAAGATTAATGCTCAGCCTCTGCACAGAGTCCCTCTTGTCTCGATAAATACAACTCAGATCCCGTAACCTCGTTGATACTGGGGAGTGGAGCTGCGCCATTTCATGAAGAGCGGCAACATCCTTTCCATCCACAATATTTCCTCCTGCTTCCTGGCCAATTTGATATTTCACTTGCTTCAAGCTGGAGACAGATTTTGGCTGAAAGTGCCTGAGCTTTACTGTTTCCGTGATATCCAAATGTCCCACCCTCGAGTGCCAATCCGAACTCCAACTAACATCGACTGGTGTACCTTTGCTGACGGTCACACTGTGAATACTGCAGACAAAACTCACGACAAAGAGTAATCGCGGAAGATAAGCTTTACCTGTCTTTACAGCTAGCCGGGGCACCAGAGCATACTCCTGCGTGTGTTTCCCATGTCATAGTATACAGTCAAACTTCCAGGCATCGAAACTGAGACACCGGAATTGCAGGAGTTTCGCTCCGAACCCGAGGAAGTCGCGGCTCACGAGCAAAATTATTAGTATCCGTATAAGCGTTCAAAAGGGAATATTTCTGTTTGGATTTTTCACAGCTTTCTTGACAATTTAAATAAGCTCCAAACACCAGAAACAAAAACGTTGCATGACTCCTAACCGCCAAGTCAAAGTGCAACATCGTAATTGTTGCTTACTTTTATACTTCATTATTGGTGGATTTTTAAAAATTGTAATAAAGCAGCGTTGCCCAACGTGCTCCCCAGTTTCCACGCATCGGTGAGATGCATCTGGCAAATGAATGCTGTTCATTTTTGGAACCACGTAGCACTGAGGTATGTTGCAAATGTGACAGGGATGTGAGAATGGGTATCACTGGCTGGACTGTTACATACCTGGACTGTATTTGGTCAAACGTCTGTAATTGAGCAACGAAGAATCCAGCAAGTTGTGGAGAGTTTTCGTGGCGGAGTGGAAGCGTAACCTTTTGAGCTGGAAAGCTCGGCTTCGAATCCTATTTTCACCAGATATGTGTCGTAACATGCTCTAACGGGTTTGATTTAAAAATATGTTCAGTAGCTTTCTGAGGAAGGGTCACTGGACCCGAAACATTAACTCTCTCCACAGATGCTGGTAGACCTGCTGAGCTTTTCCATCAATTTCGATTTGTTCACTAACTTGCTGTTGGACAGGAGTCACACATCCGTCAGAGCTGGATTATTTTGGCAGAATATAGTCTAGTTGTTCTTTATCCAGTGACCTGGAAGTTGAAGGGCCACCTGCTCCATGAAACAAAAGTACTCAGCCGTTTGTTTCCTTCTGTGAGTGCCTCTAAATATTGGATGCATTTAAATATCCTGTGTCGCTCTGTCAAGTGCTGTGACAGCAGACTAGCCTTCGAAAGAAGATTGCTCTCAAACTTTTGGGGGGAAAATTTAGTGACACGGGATGTCACCTGAAGAGCTAGATTTTGTTTAGCTGATGGCTGGGGGTTTTGACAGAACAGTGGGAATGCAGGAGTGACGGACAGCACGCTAATTTTGGTGAGTTGCGACGGTTCAGCCTTCATTATAATAAGGCTGATGAAATAATTGAACCAAAGAACACGGGTACCATCGGCGGAAAAGGCGATTACAGAATGGTCTTGTATCCAGGCACTGTTTGGAAATTGACGGTGACAGCGTAAACAAAGCACTAATCGGAACAAAAGCCATTACAGCGATATTTGTCAATTCTTTAGCCTGGGTCTTGAACATAGAACATTATAGCGCAGTACAGTCCCTTCGGCCCTCGATGTTGCGCCGACCTGTGAAACCAATCTGAAGCCTATCGAACCTCAACTATTCCATTATCATCCATAGGTTTATCCAATGACCATTTAAATGCCGTTAAAAGTTGGCGAGTCTACTACTTTTGCAGGCAGGGCATTCCACGCCCTTACTACTCTCCGAGTAAAGAACCTACCTCTGACATCTGTTCTATATCTATCACCCCTCAATTTAAAGCTATCTCCCCTCGTGCTAGCCACCACCATCCGAGGAAAAAGGCTCCCACTGTCCACCCTATCTAATCCTCTGATTATCTTCTATGTCTCTATTAAGTCACCTCTTAACCTTCTTCTCTGTAACGAAAACAGCCTCAAGTCCCTCAGCCTTTCCTCATAAGACCTTCTAAGTCTCTTATCACGCCAATTCTGAGAAAATAGAGACCTTTCACCCCTGAAGAAATTTGTTTCTTCTAAAAGAAACTGGAGTACAATGTCAGAACCAGAACACTACTTGTAGATTGTCATCACCCTTTGAGAGTGTATTACAGCAGGTTTGCCTTGGGGAGTGGCTGAATTGCAAAACCCTTTTGAAGCTGTTATTCTGGTTCTGACCATTAGTGAATGGTTATTTGTTTTTGAAGATTTAAACCTCAAATCTGATTTCAAAAGATTGTTAACCTGTTTTATCAATATTACATAGATTTCCTAACAGGGGGTGAACGCTTGGAAAGGAACAAAATCCTATTGAAAAACACAAAAAATGAATAGCCAAATAGTGTTTGAATTCTTAACTGATTTACCAAACTACTCCAAAGTATCCTTACAGTCACTATCCCATATTCCAACATGCTCCACTTCACATGGGCACTAAGCCCTACAATATGGAACTTCACAGAGTCACTTTCGTCCAACTCAACATTTCATTGTGATACTTTGCCCCTTCAGTGCAACCTAACAGTCGCCTTAGATATGGCATTCACACTAACATTACTCCTTCATAGTAAGTAAAATATCTTAATATTTGTGATTAATTATTATACTCAATAGATAAGTAACGTGAGTATTGGAGTTGGGGCGTCATGTTGCGGCTGAGCAGGACATTGTTGAGGCCACTTTTAGAATACTGCCTACAATTCTGGTCGCCCTTCTGTAGGAAGGTTGATGTTAAACTTGAGATGGTACAGAAAAGATTTACAAGGAGGTTGTCCGGACAGGAGGGGGTTCCAGTTATAGGGAGAGCTGAATAGCTGGGGCTTTTTATCCCCCGAGAGCGTCTGTGGCTGAGGGGTGACCTTATAGAGGTTTATAAAATCTTGAGGGGCGTGGATGAAGTGAATAGCCAAGATCTTTTTCCTAGGGTGGGAGAGTCCAAAACTAGAGGGCGTGGGTTTAATGCGAGAGGGGAAAGATTTAAAAAGGACTCAAGGGGTAACTTTTACACGCAGAGGGTGGTGCAGGTATGGATCCAGCTGCCAGGGGAAGTGGTGGAGGCTGATACAATAACGACATTTAAAAAGCATCTGGACCGGTATATGAATAGGAAGGGTTTAGAGGGATATGGGCCAAATGCTGGCAAATGGGACTAGCTCAAATTGGAATGTATGGTCGGTGCAGACGAAATGGACCAAAAGGTGAGTTTTCGTGCTGTATGACACTATGACTATCGTGCGTATATCAAGATGACTTTTCTACTTTGGGATCCAACTCTGGGGATCAGGATTCGCAGTTCAGTTCTGTACAACCAGGCACAGAACATTTTTTCATTCATTCACGGCTTGTTGAGGTAACAATGACAATGCTAGCATTCACGTCCCATCCTTAATTGCCTAATGTGAAATTGGGGCTTAAAACACAGCAGTCCATTGTAGAGATGGTAAGAACTGCCAATGCAGTCCATTGTAGAGATAGTAAGAACTATCGTTGCTGGAGTCAGAGATAACACAGTGTGGAGCTGGAGGAACACAGCAGGTCAGGCAGCATCAAAGGAGCAGGAAAGTTGACGTTTCGGGTCGGGACTCTCCTGGCTTGCTGCGTTCCTCCAGTTCCACACTGTGTTATCGCAGTCCATTGTGATAACTTTTAATATCATGGCCAGTTCAAATGGCAGTTAAGAGTCAGCCACAAAGCTGCGAACCAGAAGACAAGTATGAGCAAGTCTGGGCTATGATGGCCGATTTCTTTCCCTTAAGGCAATTAGTAAATCGGTTGAGCTGTTATGGCAATCACTATTACTGATGACAACATTTAATTCGAGATTTATTTAATTCACTGAACGTAAACTTCTAACTGCTGAGGTGGAATTTGAATTGCCATTTCTCGACCTCTTGACATCCTAAGGGTTCCTGGTAATTTTTTGCCTGTTTTTTGCGAGAGCAACATCTGACATGTAGCCTTCGCCGAAGTACAATTGACAAGACAAGGAAGCTAGATGAGCCACATCGACCGCTTAAACGGGCGAAAAGGAGTTTTCGAAAGGAACCACTCACGGTTCAATGTCATGGGAAAATTGCAGAATGCCTTCCCTGTAGATTGTCTGCACCGTTCTTTCCGGGGAGTGCAACAGTCTGCGTGCGCCGGCTGGTGACGCTATACGTCAGCGCTCACGCACACGGGCCCTTCTCGAGGCGCAGGGGGAGAAGAGAAAGGGTCAAAGCCGCGAAGGGGAAAGGTGTAGCTGTACGGCCCTTCTGGCCTGGAGGGAGGTACGGGTTGACTGTCGGCTTAACCCGGTCTCTCCCTTCAGTCGGTGAATGATCAAGAAAGGGTATATTTTGCCGTGTTAAGGAAAAGTTGGGAGTGAGCCAGCAGCCTCTGTTTCTTTTTCCATCCCCACCCCCCACACACCCTGAATTACAGGGCGGCTTGTTTTTGTTTTGCTTTCGGTGAGAGAGAGAAAATAAGAAGAACGAGCGGCCTTGCTTTCTGAGAGGAAAGAAAATTTTCTGATTTTGGTGGTAGCGAGGGAAGACGCGACGTTTCCCAAAAAGAAGCGTGCGTTTTGTTTTTAACACCCGTTTTCCGTCAGTTTTTAGCTTTCTCCTCGCCTTTCGCACGCCGGATCTTGCAGTGATGGTAAATACGGTGTAATATTCAAGGAAAAATATGGGAAATTGTTTGAAATCTCCTACGTCAGATGATATTTCTTTGCTCCATGAGTCTTCTGACCGGGCGAGTTACGGAGACGGTACCGAAATAGATCAGGAACCGCCGCCGCCATATCAGGTTCGTCTTTGTTTGGACAAGTTTTCTTTTTGTCTCCAGTCTGGTGTATCTCCACCAATTGGTGCTGTATTTATCCACCTGCCTAAGAAAACCAGGCGTTACGATATTGAAGTGTATAATGTTTTATATTTGACCACTTTCAACATTTTTCGCTTTGGTTGTGTCTAAAGTACTCCTTTATTTACCACTTACCCATTCGAAATAAAAGAAAATACCTCCTCCCGTTATAAACCAACAAAGTAAAACCCTAGCTATCTCGAACTGAAGAATTTTGAGGAGGTAAGGCGTGTTTTCATTCTGATAATTGCCATATTTTAACCTTATTGACTTGTGTTGACAGATTTGTAATTTCAACTATTTTAACAAAACATGTAGAATTAGAAGCCACTGGCTTGTCATTACCTAAAATTTAAAACATGCGAGAGCTTTCTTACGTACGCAGTTGTCATTTGCAAATGATATGACGCTTCATTATTTAAGGTATTGATTAAATGCGCTTACTTATTTGTTCCAGGAGCCAACTTGTGCAATTTGTCTCAGCGTCACTCTATGTTTTACTTTGTGTTAGTAGAGTTAATGCAGTCAAGGGGAAACAAAACAGCTTTGTGAAGTTAGTACTTATTGTACTTGTAGTGATGGGGAAACTCCTGTTTTCTGTTCACTGTGGACCATTCTGCTTTGTCTTGTACAAATGGATCACTTGTATGTGGCACATTTGGCACTGACATTGAACTTTGGTACTTCACATTTCAGTAGAGTTTTTTTTATAATAAAAAATCACTTTTTTTTAAATAGCTTCAAGCTTTGGTTCAACATTCGTCAAAGATGTCATCAGTATGTGGCATTGGAATTTTTATCTATTTGGCTCCAAATCCCCTGTACTGACTGACAGAACAGTTTCTCATTTCTTGTCTGAGCTTCTCATCTATTGCTTTGTATGTTGTCCAGCATTCTTTATGGAATTATGTTGATCTACTGGGACCGCATGGTGGCTCAGTGGTTAGCATTGCTGCCTCACAGTGCCAGGGACCCGGGTTCGATTCCAGCCTTGGGCAACTGTCAGTGTGGAGTTTGCATGTTCTCCCTGTGCCTGCTTGGGTTTTCTCTGGGTGCTCTGGTTCCCTCCTGCATCCAAAGATGTGTAGGTTAGGTGGATTGGCCATGCTAAATTGCCGATTGTGCCTAGGGTGGGAAATGCGGGAATAGGGTAGGGGCTGGGTCTGGGTGAGATGCCCTTCGGAGGGTTGCTGAGGTCTTGATGGGCCAAATACCCTGCTTCCACACTGTAAGGATTCTATGATGTCCTTAGTGGAAACTGTGTAAACTTGCATTTTGGCATTCTCTCATCGCAGATTTTAATGGCTATCTGAACTTGTGATTTGAGCCCTATACGTTTACTGAAGGATTAACATTCTTAAGATTATAAGATAATTGTTTTGAACTAGAGGGCAACTTGATTATCAATTATTTGCTTTATTATATTAATGTTGGTAATGGCTTGTGCTGGAACAAGAAACAATGGCAAATAGGCAAACTTTTCCTTAGAACTTCTAAGAAACTGTTTCATCTTGCTTTTAAACAGAAAATCCTATAAATTCTGACTAGATGCACGGTTCTATCGCTTGTGCATGATGTTATTATGCCACAATTGGCACATTCTACCCATGTTGGAAATTCTGCCTAATACTTCCATCTGCTGTCACTAACGCGTTGAATAACTTAGCCTTAATTACAAATTTTGTTTTGTGTTAACAATAGTAGATAGTTAAAAAGTTTTGTTTGAGAATTGGTGTGATGTGCTTTTTAAAACTAACTTTGTATCGATAAATTCTGGAGTTGTCATATCTACACATTCATCAAATGACTAGCTTGTGCCTCATGACAAATTTCTTCTCGTACAACTGAATTTCCGCTACATCCTCATTTTAAGATGAAATTTGCAATAGACTTATTCAGGTTACTTTTGTTACCTTCTGATTATTATCAGAACACCAGTGATTGTAAGTCTAGGTTTCTGATATTTCTTTCCTATCTCCTCCCACCTTCAATGTAAAAAGACTTGACAGCAATTTTAACGTTTATAGTGACTGTCAATATAGTAACTTCCACAGAGAGGTGGATTAACAATTTAGAAAATTGAATAAAGATGTAGTCATAGATATTAGCCTTCTCGAGGCTTTAAAGGTGGGCAGGGTAAAGAAAATTGAAAAGTACAGAGAGTTTTTAGGGGGGAGACCAAAATTGTCGATAGCTAACTGAGAAGCACGTGGGAGGGAGTGTGGATACACAGGGAATGTGAATCTCAAAAATGTACGATGTGGTCCAGAGGGTGCAAGGTTAGACGAGACTGCAGAGGTGGTGTGGGATTTTTTTTGTGATCAAGAATTTAGAAAATTAGTAACCAGGTGATCTATAAGGGTATTAATCTTGGATAAAGAAGACGAGTACAGGATAGGATGTGACTGAACAAGTCAAGTTTATATAATACAATTTGATCAGTGTTTGAGCATTTTGGTCTTGAGCAAATAAACAAATATGGATAAGGATTTCAGAGAAGGATGACAGTTGGGCAAGGGGGTGGGAAGAGGGCAGCGTGCTTTTATAGTGATTAAGATATAGGATTTGGAATTTACTTGGACATTGAATAGGATTGATTTGATTGTGGGTAATCCCAGTTTAACCTTTTGTGTGTGTGGCCTTAGAATGTAATGATCCCATCATATGTTACTACCAGATAAGTCAGAGCCCAGTCAGGAACCTGGCTTGTTAGCTCATTCTGTCTTGAATTTACTGCAGAGGTCTCTTGCTGAACCATGAGCGCATAGTGCTGCAGAGTTTGCTTCAATAACAAAATGGAAGTTTACTACCAAGGGAATCAAGGTAAAATAGAATAATCTAAACTCTATTTAGACAAATTTCGAGACTTTAACTGTGTTTAAAAGAAAATCCCATTAATCCTAAAACTCTCCTTTTATCAATTGAAAAGAAGATGGCTTTTGTCATGCCCAAAACACCCCTGTTAAGTTCACACAGCACCACTCCTTCTGGTACTGTACCCAAAAACCTATCAAGATGTACAAGTGGTGTTAAGTCAACAGGGACTTCCGTTTTTCAAGCTGGAACTAGCTTCTTCCTGGAGCTATCATACACTTGAGCTCCACTGCACTTAGCTTAAATTACCACATCTGGATTTTGTCTGGTTTGAAACCAACACTAACGCTTCACTTTAAGGATTGTAGCCGCCTTTTAAGAGCGCTGAACGAAACAGCCATCCTCTTCCAAGATCTTGTCAGGACTCCAACACTACCCAAAATTAGAAGTTTCTCTTAGCCAAGTGTGCCTCCACCACGATTTTAAGATTCCAGAAACTAACAAAAATTTGTGCCCTCATTATTTAGTTTGCTGAGGCGTAAGCAATCTAAAGTAAACACAAGCCCAGTCAAGTGTAAAACCTATCTACTGTACAATCAGGCGTCAAAAATTCCTTTTCAAAAGAAATCATCATGGTCACAGAAATATTTAGAAATTATTTATTAAATTCAGACCAACAGAAAAACTAACCAATTACTAGCTCAATCCCAAATATCCAAGCTTGCAACTAGCATAAAATTATGCAAGTACATCACAATTTGCATCACACTACAGATTCAAGAGAATTAAATTATTTGGTTCACATCATAAACTTTGACTTTAATTACCTCTGCTAAGCTCTGGGTTGTTTTGGCACATCTGTGACTTGATGTCACAAAGTGGTTTACTAAGCCATAAATAATTATGGTGGACCAGGAGAGCTAGATGATATAAAACAAGATGTGGAAGATCTGAAACAAAAACAGAAATTGCTGACGAAACTCCACAGGTCTGATAGCATCTGTGGGGAGAAAGCAGAGTTAACATTTCTAATCTAGTGACTCTTCAGAACTGTCAGCAACTAGGAAAATCTTGTACTTGTGCTGAAGCCAAGTGGCACAGGTGGGTGTGGGGAAGGGGAGAAGTGAGTGGATAGTTGGAGATGGAGCCCAGTGAGAGAGACATATGAGGTCGAGCTAAGCATGGAGATTATTGATGACATGTCACGACCGAAGAAAGGCAGAATAAGTGATAAGAGCTAAAAGTAGGAGAAAATGGCTGTACTGTACTGAATGAAACCTTTATATTGTGATGATAGGCCTTAGGGGTATGTTAGAGTTGGTGACTAAAAGCAATCCATGTCATAACAGGACCAGGTAAGGGATGGGTAGAACACGTGGAATGATGGAAATGAGCCCTAAAGTTGTTGCATTTTAGAGGCTGCATGATTCCCAAGTGGAAAATGAGATATTGTTCTTCAAATTCACACTAAGGTATGCTTGAACACTGCAGCAGGCCTGTGACAAATGTTGGCCAGGGAAGATTATGGTGTGTTCAAGTGGCAAGTGGCAGGTGACTGGAGGGTTGGGGTCATTTTTGCAGACAGAACATAATGTTCTGCCATGCCATTGTGTTGATGACTCTCACCAACTTAATCTCATCTGGTTATCTCCTTGCAACAGCCTCCCAGCTTTTGGTGACTGCAAACCATTATTTCCTCTGTCAGGAATGTTTTACCTGTAAAATTTCTTCAGTGGAGGACTTTGAGCTAAACTCAGAATCATAGAATCCCTACAGTGGGGAAACAGGCCATTCGGCCCAACAAGTCCATAACGCCCCTTTAAAGACCATCCCATCCCCCTACCCTTTCCCACGTCTAATCCACCTAACTTACACACCCCTGGACACTGGGCAATTTAGCATGGCCAGTCCACCTAACCTGCACATCTTTGGACTGTGGGAGGAAACCAGAGCACCCGGAGGAAACCCACGCAGACACGGGGAGAATGTTCAAACTCCGGGCAGACAGTCGCCTGAGGGTAGAATTGAACCCAGGTCCCTGGAGCTGTGAGGCAGCAATGCTAACCACTGAGCCACCATGCTGCCCAAAATACCATGGCACCTTTCATTAATTAGATGGGCTTTCTCTG